GCTGGCAGGGCAGAGCCTCCTCTCACACTGCGGGCTACCAGGCAGTGTAGGAACACACCGGCGGAGGGCAGCAGGCAGCCAGGAGCAGCTGCTCACGCGTCAGGATTTCTGAAAACGCTCATGACCTCACAGGCAATGTAAGAAGAGGGGTAGGTACAGCTGGCAGCGTGCACCGAATTGCAAAATCCTTAAAGCACTATTTTTATTTTGCCTTTGAGATATTCTGAACTAGAACTGGCTTACATCTACTCAGTAACCAAACAGCCTGTACTGCATAAATAACAGCATTGCTGCATTTCACCTTATCCATGTTTCACACCTGATGGCATCTGCTATTTTGTTGTTTCCCATAAGCAGCCATTAAACCTTAACCTAAACTTACACATCTCCCACCCAGCTGCTTCCCACCTCCACCACACATGAAGACACAACAGCTGACAAAATCACTCCTGCATGCAACCAAGGCAAGCAAAATTTCCTAAGGAATACATGTACCTCTTTTCTGGTCCTGCACACAGTGGAAGAGAGCATTGATGCCTCCTGTCATCCAGGGAGATGGTGGGCTCCCCTTGGAAAAACTCACAGCCAACACTATGAAATATTAAACACTACAAAACACTATGCAATTCAACATAATTCTTTTATAATATACCAGCGAGGCACCTGGAGATTATTCAGAGGAGGCCAAATTTAAGCTGCAAGGACTTCTATCTCATTTCTGAAATTCCAGGAATTGAATTTTGCCAGATTGAACATTCTGCAAAATCACAAGACAGCAAAAAGAGTATTCACTGTCAACAAGGGACCTGTCAGTCACTCTAACAGTAAAAATACATTCAGAGAAATCTGAAGGACAGCTGATGAGACATTTCAACTTATCTGAAATCCATTTCAGTCATTGAACATGTGCCCCAAATCCATTTTGCACTGGGAAATAAAACAGGAAGAGTAACTGGAAAGCAGAATATAACATTCTTTGGTCTCTGGCCTTTTATGGAAGCTTTCATATTTGTCCTGTTGTGGTGACTCAGAATGGCTGAGCAAAATAATCTGGGTTTGTTTCAACAGCTGCAGCTGCATCTTGGCAATTTTACTGCCCATTTTATAGAGCAATGGCTCTCAAACATACCCCCCCTTATATTAGAATATGTACCCTGACTCTTCACCAGTTTAAAAAATTCATATCCTGTTTTGTCCAACTGGAAGTGTATTCTGTGTTCGTATTAAAGGTGAAAAGAAAGAGAAGGACTGAGTGGGGCAGGAATGCAGCTCAGAGGAGATGTCTGGACAGGGGTGGGAAAGGACCAGAAGTTCCCATCCTGAGCCTTGATAGCACTGCTCCCTTGACTCCACACGAGCCTCAACCTCCACTAAAAACATCTGTCTTACTGCTCCTGCAACCCAGGAGAAATTCCTGGCTGTGCCCACCCAGTTCATTGAACCTCCTTGAACAGCGGTCATGGCTCCAAATTTGGAATTATTAGTGTAACATATATGCATGGAGTGTAAGCAGAAACCATACTCAGACCAGTAAGTCCTCAAGTTCAAAATAGTTGGAGACAGGGATAAGATTGTGGAAGTTTTATGTGCTTGCCCTCTTGCTTAACAGTTTCCTAGGTAGCTCAATCACAGTTAGAAAAGATGCTGGGCTGGGTGAGCTTATGGTTTGACTCAGTAGAAGCATTTTATATTAGCCCCACCTTTTGAAAAGATAATGTAGCACTGGAATGAATTGACTGACAATTTGTTCCTTAAAATAATGACTAGGAAAAAAAAAAAAAAACACAAAAAAAAAAACCAAGAAACCCCCAAAAGCTTTAGATCATACATCATCTTAGAATAACTGAGTGATTTTTTTAAGTCCAAAAGTATGATGTCCAAACTTGACAAAAAATGAGATTATATGATATGACAATATGGAAGTGAAAGTTCTGCAACTGAGCTCTATTTTTTCTGTCTAAACACCACAGTATAATATGTCAAAACCCACAAACAAGTCAAATGCAATCTGAAGGCAGAACCAGGCAGCTGAGTCAAGGAGTTCAAGGTAGGCAACTGACAGCTAATACTAATTCTTTTTGTAATAGATATGAAAAACAGTTTCCATATTTAAACCTCCAAGATGTTGATGACTCAAATGTTTTATATACTGATTTCAGTAATGACAGATATGTGCATATGTAGATACAATAACTTACAGTTTCCGTATACTGGACTTGCTCACACAAGAACAGCAGTACTTCCTAAATCACTCTTTATGGGCGTTCACTTTAAGTGAGCAAACACGAAAAAAGTTGCAAAAAGGACTTCCTCCTAGGATTTCTACATCAGTTCAGTAAAAACCAATAAAGCAACAGTTCAGTGTTACTCATATAGACTAAGTCTTTCTCCCTGGATAGAAAACATGGCCACAAAACTACCATCTCAAGAGGAATTTGAGAACTGGACAACTTTTCAAGTTGCAGATCTCCTAAGACAGGTATTGAATGTATATGTAACACTTAAGACAGTTCAGTCTATCTTTGGCTAGCAGAAACTCTTACTGGGTTGATCTTTGAAAACCAGATATATAATCCTAAATCTAGAACAAATATTTATTAGTACTGAAAATAGATTGGTCACCAATTGGCACCCCCAAGAACTTATTAATATTACTTGAGGGTTTTGGCACTTTCTTGTTTTCTGTAGAAATCTAATTCATGGCAGAAGCTGCTAGATAAGATCTCCTACATGACAAATCATACAAAAAATGTTTGTTCAATGGGATATTTCTTATAAGAGAAAAGGTATTTCATGCCCAAATTTATTTCCTGATGGGAAGCAATAACCATTTCACAGAAAATAGGTCTAGGTTTTATATTGGAATATAACTTTATAATTTACAGCCTTTCAATAAGGATTTACCGTTAATCTTTTCTTCTCAATGCATATATACCCACAGTAGTTGCTAAATGTTGCTTAAGTTTAAGGTACTTGAGTTTTTTGGGGCTTTCGAATCATTCCTTTATTGTACATTTCTTAGTTCTACAATGTCCTTTCTGGGATATGTAAAATAACCTGAATTGCACAGAGTATTCCAAGATCATTTTCAGGCATCTTTCACTACTTTAATAATCTCCTCCCAGATATATAAAATATATCCTCCATGATATAGCCTTTTTTGAGATAATATTTTTCCTTATAACTTACTGACTAGTATGACTCAAGTTTTAGACTTCTACCTGTAACTTATAAAGTTCATTCACTGTGGTTGCAAATATAGCCTCACTTTAAATTCTTTTTGTCTTTAGACAAGTTTCTCTCTATAATTTTTTATATAAGATTTTTTTTGTCTTCTGTTTATTCTAACTCTAGAAGCACCAGTCTTTTGCAGTACCTTCTTTACACTAAAAGTGAGAATTTATTGTCATTAAGGTTTCTCATCCTTTTCTATTGAAGGAGCATAGAATTTTTGTCAAAGAAAATAAGAGTGTCATGAAGTCTTCCCACAAGAGTTCCATTTGCACCCATGCAAAAAGTTAGCCATGCAAAGTTTGAGATGTTCATTTTGTATTATTATTTTTCCATCTTGCATTATTATTTTTCCATCTTGCATTATTATTTTTCCATCTTGCATTATTATTTTTCCATCTTGCCTTTGTATAAATACATGTGCTCATTCCTGGACAATTAAAGCAAAAACCAACATAGCAAACCCATAAACAGATTCCTAATGGAGATGTACCACAGGTGGAAAATTGTCCCCGTGTTGAGAAAGCTAACCTGTTCACACCATAATGATAACATATCAGCTAACCAGTGAACTTATTACTGTGAACAGCTACTCAGAGGATTAATTAGCTCAAAGCCTTTCAGCTGAAAGGAAGTCAGACTAATTTATAGAACTTATAATGGTTTTAAAGTTCTGCAATTCTACAGCAGAATAGAAGACAGAAAGTTAATAACAATTGTTCAACAATCCAGAGGCTTTCAGGGAAATTGCAGGCACACCATAACTACTGGCTTCATACTTGTTAAGACAGTATCTTCCAACTTTATAAAAAGCTGTTAATGCCTATGCATACACTCTTGTTACTGATTAAAGCAGCTAAATAATCCAATTACTATAGGATAACCCACATTACGTGCTTGGCCATTCTACACTGGAAGCAGCAGCCATCTGCTTGTGGCCACCGTGTACAGAGTTGTCAGCTCCTACTGCCAGCATTCCAGAGAGTCTCAGCACCACGTGCCACCATCATGTCCGTAGTCAGACAACACACTGGAGGCTGTGCTGGATCTCCCCACCCTGAGATAGGCCTTGCACGTGCATGAAGCCTAAAATACCATTAAGGCTACAGAAACAAGCACTGAAATGTGCCAGAACTGGGATTACCTCTGCAACCTGAATTTCTCACCTTTCACATATACACCACAATAGCCTGTAATTGCTTCTTCACATATTACCCTTTCCATTCACAAACACCTGCCTCTGTCAGTGCAGAAAAGCCAGTAGGTTTATGCACTACTCTTGGCTGTAAGAGAAATCGTAAGGTGCACAAGGCATATGGCTTGGTGAAAAAGAGAAAAAGAATATACAGAAATGTTGATTTAATTCTGCCCTGAAATATCAGATTCTGTCACTGCCCCAGCTCTATATTTTTATCTGAAGATATGCAAGTCACCCAGAAAAAATATGATACTGCCCAAGGGCTTGACCTGAGGCAGCGAGAAGTAAGAGTTGCAACTACAGTGGCAGCTCCTCTCAGAAGGTAAAATGGCAAAATATTGAATATACAAATACACATGTACATCTCATAGATCCAAACAGTTGTAGTTAGGCATCCAAAAACACTGGATGCTGTACAAGGTTTTTATTTCATGCACCTCAACTTCCCTTACTAATGCAGTTTTCATCTCTCAGAGTGGTCTCAGAAAAAGCAGTTATTAGTCTTTCTGAAGCACTTGGACAATAAAGAGTGCTGTAGAACAGGTCAAATAAAAAAATCATTCTGGGTTCAGAGAAAGCTTCAATACTGTGCACTACAGGTATGCAAGATAGCAGACAAGCACTGAACAGAACACAATATATCAAACAGCAGTTCAGGAAAGTAACATCAGCTTTTATGTGCTGTGTCTGAGGCTGGGTTCTCTGGAAGAGGTCTACTGATGCTGCTGCCGCCATAATATTTATATAAAACGGGCATGTATGTATCTACAGTGCAATTTTAGCATTTTCTTAACTTTGAAAGTCTTGATTATATAGATATCTGTGTGTGATAAGTACAGATGTTATTAACTAGCCATTCTGCAAAGCGCTTCCAGCCTCATAAAAGGCATTTTGTATCAAATCAATAACTTGACTACTAAATAACAGTTAACCATATTGATTTTGCTTTTGGATGTCCTTCCCTGTTACCTTGTATCTATGCTAAAATTGCAACAACCCCGTGACATTTCAAATTGTGTTCAGGGTTTGCCTACTTGGCCTCCATTTGCCACATAGTCTGGTCCTCTCCTCAATACTGATCTTAATGTATTTGTAAGGAAAGTTTAGGTATTTGTAACAAAATGAAAGATTCCACAGTCATCACTAAACACCAGTAGCAAGACATCCTCTTGTCTCATGAGCTAACCATGTAAAGGGAACAAATTTTCCCTTACACAGAAGTTAGATGCTTGATTAATAGCATAAGGCAATGCTCAAAAGCAGCTCACCAGAGCTAATAACTACAAACAGATGGGCAAAAGCCAAGAGGAGGAAGTGTGCATAGCTTTGATTGTTTCTCTCTGCACCAACATCAGCGCAACTGATGGCAAATCAACACAATTCACAACCACTCATTGGTCCAACACCCACAGCAACCCTCTCGGTTGAATTGTGGTCTATTCAGTATTGCAATCAAGCAGGACTCTCCCAATCACAGTATAAAAAAATTATAAACTCAGGCATATCAGCAAGTAGGGCAAAAACCAGTCTGAATATATGTCTGAACCTGAAATTTCCATATCAAAAAGTAGATCAAATGCACTTGGAATGTTTAAGCGTGATCAGTTTTAAGTAGTCTAGAAATAAAGAATTATCTTGGAAAAGCCACATAAATATGAGAAGAATTTATTTTCACTAATATTTCTTTGTTAGTGTTGGAATTGGTCTTCACTGCTACAGACATATACAGCTAAGCATTACAAACAGTAAAATTCATTTCAAGAGTGGTACATTCCTAAATAAAAAATTTCTATTTTTTTTGCCATTTTCCATGCATAACAGTTTAATTTCTTTGAGAAGCCACAGTGAACCATCTAACACACAGTGAGATTTTTAGGACATCTTTAGCCCTGCTCCATTCCTTACTGACTTTTAATAAAGGAACTCTGATGTGTCCACTTTTTTTTCCAGATTATTACTTAGTAATAGTGCTATTTAGAGATGTAACATTTCCGGACATTCCTGTTCCATTATAATTTATAGTCAGAACCAACTTCCTTAAGAACACCACCATAACGTTACAGAAAAGAAATTCTTTTTCTGAAACCGAATTCAGAATGCCCATCATCATGATAAGTGCAAGACACACTTAGTCCAAATATCTGGTGCTGAAGCCAAGCAGTCACCAGTGCATACAAAGGTTGCTAAACAGGCCTATGGGATGATGACATGGCTACTGATGAACTTTTGCTTCAAAATACCTTTTAACCTGTGTCTAATCTTGGCCTCCTCTTGTCCCACAGCAATTGAAATTCCATAGTGTATTTCTCCTGGGCTCCTTGCTCCATTTATATTACGTTTGCTGCTTCATAACTTCATCTCATCTACTCCATTCATAGTTTTGTCAGCCCTTATCTTCTGTAATCTTTCTTCCTAAAAAAGAGGTAATACCCTGTCTTATCTCTCATGAGAAAGTCACTGTCAAAGCATTATAGTTATTCTGTCCAATATTCTTCTTCTAATTATCCTTGTCAACTAGTACAACTATTTCCACAACCCTGAGTATTTGAGTACAGAAATATTAATTAGTTTGTTTACAAATGGCAAGTTTCATACTGTTGTAATAATTCTATCTTATTCTCACCTCAGTTTGGAATGCCTGAATCTGCTGTGATTGTAGAAAAACTGCGCATGAACGGATCTCACTTCTTGGTAAGCAAATATTCTGTAAGAGCTATCATTAAACCATATCTCAACATGAGGATTGTATTCCTTACAGTACCAGGAAACAATCTGAAATTTTCCTTCTGTATACACACTACATCAATTGCTCTGGTTTTGCATTTTAGTGGATTGATTTACACTGCTGACTCAAGGAATCCCCGTACACAAAAGAAATCCCAGCCAGCCCTTCCACTGCTCCAGAGAAAGGGCAGATATTTAGCATCAGCCATTAGTACACAGGTGTGTCAGGGAACATCTCATGAAATATGACTTGGAGCAGGTTGGTAGCTTTTTTAACAATAGACATGTTTTAAAGCCCCTGTTTATGTAAAAGCTTTTTCATAAACCCTGCATGATTAAGAATATTTACCAGTACAGAATTCTACATAAATTTTACAATAAAAGTTTAGAGATATTGGAAAAAATGTCTGAAAAAATCTGGTAACTTTCTTTCTTGACATATGTAGAATTTTTTTGCATAACAGTGTGTTTAATTGATTTCAACTAATTAGAAGACACAAATAGAATAACTCCTTGAACTGCAGCAATTCCAATACCACTAATTCCAGCTATTGAAGCAAAAGTTCCTTGAGATCTATTTTAAAGGTAAAATTGTTGTTGTGGTATATTTATGCAATGCAGAGATACTATGTTTGCTTGGCAATTCATTGCTCAACAAAGCTATTTCCTGGGTGCATCAGGAGTTTTACCTGCTGTTTGTTTATGCTATCAAGGGCTTCAGTCCTGCAAAGTGATTCATTCATTAGACCACAGGTGCATGCATGGCCACAGTAAAATTGGGGTTTACTAAAAATTCATACTAGCACAGTAGGGCTAACAAAGCTGTAAACACAGACTGATTCCTGTCCCATTCATCCATTCTAAACTGAATCACTAAAAGTGCTGTAGTCCCCATTGCTGGATGAGAGGCAGTGAAGTTAAACCTAAGGGTGGTTGTGTTTTCTTCTTGTGCCTGCTGCAAATAGAGCTGTACAGCTGCAGTGGACAGTGGATCTGAGAAGTAATTTCAGGTGTTACTGGCAACCTATTCAAAACACAAGTGAAAAAAGCAAGGAGAACAACGGATGATCTTTGGTGACAGTCTGCAATACCAAAAGCAGTATGACTAAAAATGAAAGCATTTGCTAGTATGTTCGTCAAACTACCTAGGCTGTTCAACGTGTCTTTAAAGATTATTTTGCTCTGCAGAAAACATGACATTATACATGTGATACATGAGCAACATCCATTTTTTATGTCATTATAGAGAAAATGAGACAGATCTCACACACTGTCAGAAACCTTACTACAAATTTCATTGAATTGTTCAGTAGCATTGTCAACATGATAAATCTGTATGCTTGAAACAGAATTATTTATGGCAATACTTAAAAAAAATTATTCAAGAACCTATATTTTGCTATCATTAATACCATTACTTGAGTAACTCTAAGATAATGTTCTCCTATGTACAAGTTAATATGTATGCTAACCTGTAAGTAATGAAGTCAACAGCCAAGGTTTTTATTCTAAGCTCCTAGTCAAATACACAAAAAATCCATATTATACCAGGAATTAAATGTTCCTTCTCTGTTACAAGGCGTGGTTTAGAAATTACACCCTTAGAAGATCCACTTTAATATACAATGGAGTAACCAGATGCCCAAGGTACACATTTCCACTCAGAAAAATCAGAGTTTCTGTCTATGTCACCTATAGTGTGATTCCTTCACTGGATTTACTGGTTTGTGTAGAGGTGTCCAGAACTCCAAAAATCAAAAAATCCTCATGCTGTTATTTTGTTTATTTATTACCTTTTGCAAGAACCCAAGGTCTGGCACTTCAGTTTAAGATTTCCTTCCACTGCTATTTGCAAAGTCTAAACAGAAGCTCAATATCACCTTCAGACACTGAGCTCAGTGTCACTAGAGAAAAGTTGGCCATCTATTGCTAGACAGCAGTGAACAAAAAAACCCAAACAAACAAAACCAAAAACCCATAAAACAAAACACTTGAGCAAGCCTGATGCCATCTACAAAATAGGAGTGGCAGGTTTACCTTCACATATTAATAACATTTTTAAAAGCAAATGCACTATCTGCATGTGCACAGAGACGCTGTGAACACGTGTAGAGCTCTTGATATATGTGCAGTGTTTCTATATGTCTATCCAATGTTAGATTCATATTTAGATACAGATTTGTTTGGATATGACATCTGTTAGGAATCCTTGGACAGAAAATTCCTTCTAGCCTGATGAAGAGGAAAGCAACTCTGTGGTATCTGCCATGAGAACACACTGTTCTTTCCCCCACCACACATTCAGAGAGGCACAAGTTACTGTTTTACCTTTTCACAAGCTGAAAAATTGTCTTCCATCCTGAGTGTTGCTGCAGAAGCCACACCACAGTGCCTCTAAAGGCTGGCATGACATCCCAAGGGGAGCCATCCTCATGCCTACCAGCAGCTCTTCACAATTCTCAGACAAACCCTTCTCACCGTAAAACTCCCTCAGCCTGTCCCAAACCTCCACTATGGAATTAACACATGAAGCATATGCAGCACAGGTATTTGGTAGCAGTGAGATCTGCCAAAATCCGAGGCAGTGCACCTTGGGGCAGATGGCATGCTGGCCCACTGGTGCACAGCACTGGAAGGAACCTTTCCTGGAAAGAAACACATGCAGCCTCTGTGCTGCACTTTAACCATGGGATATAAATACCCACTAGATGTGTCTCTGCTTCCTGTGTGGTTTCAGCAGGGAGCTCATCTTTTTAATCTTCCTAAAGGGGAATGTGGTCAAATGTTGGGGAAATGCTGCAGAAAGTAATTATTCTTAAAGCCTACCACTGAACTAATGAAAACCTCTTAAGGGGCCATCCTGCATATGTCCTTCATGTAAAATGCAAATGACATTTTATTTGAAAGCGAATCAGATGAACTTATCAATACTAAGGTCTTTTTGAAGTTTAGAGTGTTCAAAGTCAAGTCATGCAGATATTATAGCCACAATATCTGTGATAAGTTAGTCACAACACCTTAAATTGATTCGACTGCTTTCAAAATAGAAATAATCAACATTTATGTGATCATTTCTTTGAATATTTCTTGTCTTTGAGTAGCTAAAAGACAATTGCTTTTATGGTAATATTATAGTCCATTTTATAAACATACTGAGTATCAAACTGAACTTTTATAGGAAACTGAATTACATGCATTTTATAAAAATTTATAAGTAATAGCTCTTCCTTCACACTTCTGCAGAATCTAAAAACACAAAAGGGTGGTATATTAGATCTGAATTGTACCATGCAGTTTCATTTTTCATCAATAGTACCATACTTGTGATAGTTACTCAATATGCAGATCACATCTGAGTGATGCTAATCTAGTCCTAATGTGCAAATCAGCATTTAGCCACAGCTGCATTGCACAGAGCATATTATATTCTTTCTTGCTTTTTAATGTCTGAACTTGCTACACTGTACTCCTGCTTTTCAGTTCCCTCTAAGAGTAGGTTGCTTCTTTGATGTTTTTTTCAAATTATGTTTTGAATTCCCAGTGACAGATTGAAAAAGATACAAAAAAAAATAGTGAAGTCTTAGTTGAACTTCAGAACTGAAAAAAGGTAGACTTTCTTATCGGATTTGTATATAGAAATTTACTAAAAGAAATCTCAAACATAGCAAAATGGTCAGACATTGATTCTAAACAGCCTTCATGTATTTCTTCTTCCTTGCTATTTCAAAATGCATTTTGAATTGCATGGCTGGAATAGGAATGCCTTGGAAAGAACCAGAACCCTGTTATTCACCAATACTCTGCTGAGGATTTTGAATAACATTTAGAGAAGAGAACTTGTGTCTTCCTGTGGGAGATTCCTGACTCCCTGTCAGGGCAAAACACTGCCAGAGCTTGCCAGGTTCAACTCACCGAGCCTGTCCTTTGACATTCATTTCTGTCAGCATTGCTACTGAGAAAAAGCAACTATTGTCTCACTTGGATGCTCATTTCCAACCCTGCAATGCAGAAGCAGCAGACAGGAAAGGACAGATACCACATCTGCTTTCTCCAGTGACCACAGCAACTACACACACCTCAGCTAGTGCTTCTGCTGCTATTTGAAAGCTGCAGAGTCCCACACCACCTTCCCCAGTTTAAGCTAAATTTTTTCCTAATGCTGAGAGTGGTAATTTCACAGCACAGGGTTGGGGAGTAGGTGGAAGGACAGATTAAAATTAGTTTGGGCTGCTTGGATATCTGTTAGGGAAAAAAGCTAACCAACATCAGGTTCTGTTCAACTTGATCTGACATCCACCCCTGTACATTTAGTTTTACAAATAAAATTCAGATCATCAATGCCTTGAGTTTCCAGAGGAGGGGGAAGGGATGAGAATCTTTTCTAGGTCTTGCAAAAACAGAAATTAGAGACTTACTAAGTACATCTTTATAACCTAATTCTTCTGGGAAGGGGACAAAAAACTCCTGCAGTGTTTTCCCTGGGTATCAAGCAAGCATAGAAAGCTTGCATACGGGGAAGTTCAGAGAAATAAGGTGCAAGTTGCACGTACTGCTGAGTCCTACTCTTAGGTTGGCTGTTGATAGCTTAATGCCACAAGTTCATAGCAAAGCTTTAATAGTATACTGCTTATCTCAAAAAGCCATAAAATAAGCTTTTTACAATCACACAAAACCTTAATATTAATGTTTTAGGGTATGTTGTGGTATGATATGTTGTATGAATGGAAGCGATATAGGCATAGTTTGTCTCACCTTTGGCAAACACTCAAGGTCACCACAGCAAAAAAACAACAACTGTTCACCACAGAAAAGTGATGTTACAAAAATACACATTTTCAGCTGCAAAATATGATTAGCCCATGTAGCTGTATTAATTTAATTGCATTTTCGCACAATTTTTATTCTTCTGACATTGCTTTCTCCTATTCACTTTTATCAACCATCTGACATACACACACCCCTCACCT